GACGCCTGGAACCCGAGTCCCAGCAAGGGGGCGCCCTGCAAGGTGAGGAACCACTCGAAGGACGGATTTCACTCAAACAACGAGTCTTTAAAAAAACAGCTGCTGAGAACCTGTTGACAAAGAGCGCAGATTTTGATAAAATAGTTTTTAAACATGAACTTTTAAAAACATGGCGTTTACTTTGTGCAACATACGGGGAAGGCGGTCCTCTTTTGCGTCAACAAATTGCACATTCGCTGATGATGTTGTTGTGTTTATTTACATCTGGAGAAAAACATGGAGGCAACATGTTGAAAGAGTCCATTAAAATCAAAAGTATGTTGTTGAAAACACTTTCTTATTTTTTCTGAATCAGGACACGGAGGGGTTGAAGGTGGGCGTGGCCAACCGGATCACTCAGTGGGTTAAAGGTCCATCTGATGGCGGCAGACAGTCTCCGTGCAGACCGACAGTAAGTCTGAAAACAACATGAACACGTTCAGTTCTCACTCATTCCTCGTCCTGTGTCTTCCTCCTCTGTGGCTTCATTTATTAAACAACTTAAAGAATAAATAATGTGTTTAAGACTGAGCCAGAGCTGGAGTTCTTAAAGAGACCGAACACATCGATGTTTGATGTCAAACAAGCAACAACGCCATGAAAACAGTCTTTTAATTGTTTTTTTAATTTCCCACTAAGCACAGCAGACCCTCGCATGAACTCACTGATTAAATATTTCTGTCGTAAAGTGTCACTGGAGGAGAAAAAGGTTGCTTACATTTATTCACAACAAAGTTAATTAGAGGAGCGTGGGTAAATTGGGGAGCAGCCTATGTTTGCCTCTTCTTTAAAATCAGGAAGGATTACAAGTGCATGACTTATAAAAGACTGTTTTCACTGGAAGGTTGTGGGTTCGATCCCCAGCTCCTGCAGCTACATGTCCAAGACTAGAAAAGAAATATGCAAGCTCAAGTCCATTCATAATTTGAGTGACAGCGTAATGATGTGTTCAGGACGGAGGAAAAAGTTTGTAATGTGAGGTTTCCCTCTAGAGGAGAAAGAACAAACATCATGTTCAAAACAGCTGCTGAAGGACTTCTTCTATATTCATCTTTTGATTGGAAACAAATGTATTTATTACCTACTGTTGAAACTGCACTTTGCTTTTAACTCTTTAACTCTTTAACTCTCTGCTCTTTTGTGCATGGCTAATTTCTTTAATAATCTCCACTTGGTACATAGCCGTATTTCTTCAACATTCTGTCTTTATACTTTTTCTCTTTTTTACTTTCCTTATTTTATTCCATGTTTTGTATTTATCATTGATTTGTCAGGATGTGAAGGCCGGAGACGTGATGCAGAAAAAGAACATGTGGGAGGGGATCAGAGACTCATCAGAGCAGCCGGGACACAGAGCCAAGGTGAGAGATATAAATATGAGACATTCTTTTTACTTCTTGTTTAAACATCGTCTATATTATTCAAGTTGTTTTAATTGCACATATATTAAGGAGTAACATAAAGTGAGTGAAACGATAAAGTGACCTTACTATATGATCAGACATTAAGGAAACATGCTATGTTGAAGTGCTGGCTTCTCTTACAACAATGCAGCAGCCAGTATGCCCTCCTTCTAACTTTAGATTCTGGTCCTGAATGCTCTGGATTTGTTTGGACCAGAGAAGGTAGGCGATTTTAAGGGACCCCCACACGGCCGTATTGGACGCCCCTCGGTTTGTCGGATAGGAGACCAGTTATCAGGTCAAACCAACAGGTGTTGCAGCGATGGAAGCGGGCAAGAGAACTGGTTTAGATAGAAGTGATTGTACCCGACCTAAAAAGCCTCTGCATGTTTCTAATAAGCTCCACGAGCAGAAACACACCAAAGTGAACCCGTTTGTCTCTTCTTGCTTTAGGGTTCAGCCACTGGTAAAAAGTACAAGTTCATCGTCACCGGTCACGGAAAGTACGAAAAGATTCCCATCGAAGATGAGGACAGAGAAGAGTTCACCAACGGACAATCTGGTAAGATCAGAAACGGAGTGAGAAAATCCTGCTGGAAAGTCTATTAGAAGTTATCTCAGCCTATTGTGTGTTTCCTCAAGATATTACACAGAGGAAGATGTCTGTGTAGGTTCTCAGTCATCATGGTCATGTTAAATTATAAACTTGATCCAAAGGCAACTGGACTAGGTTGATGGTTGGTTGATTGATCTTCAACCTAGTCCAGTTGCCTTTGGATCAAGCTTCGAATTTACACAGAGGAAGCATGTTTACAGTGAAAAGAATCGGTCCCAGCACAGAATCTGGTGGAACTCCATGGCTAACTTCAGTGTGCATAGAAGACTCATCATTAACAAAAAAGGAGTTAAACCAACTTAAAGCGGCTCCTGTAATAACAATTAGCTGTTTTAGTCTCTGTTATCGCATATGATTAAGTTTAAACTCCTAAATGTAACAAACCTTAAATGATACATTTTTCCCACTCAGGTGGAGTCATATATGAAACAACAAAATAGAGACGGGATGAGTGAACTCTGCTTGTTTATTTTTTCTCAAGTGACAAAGATGGAATCACAGGAAATCTTTCTTTGATCAAAACAGCACTTAAGTAAATCATTCACAAGAGCTCACACTCCAAAAAACCCCACTTTTTTTTAACAAAGTATTAAAAATTGCAGAACACAAACCAGAACAAGCGTCTAAAACGAAAGTAGTTGATATGCCCCAACTCTGATGCTATAAGCACATCATGCATGATGTTATGGTGGAGAATCTGAATGATATCGACCAATCACAGAAGTTTTTTTGAGCTTGAAGATGTGTTAAAGGTCACATATTCTCCTCCTCTCCAACCAGTTTAAATAAGTCTCAGAGCTCCCCAAAACATGTCTGTGAAGTTTCTTGTTCTAAATCCACTCTGATCCTGTATTTTATCATGCCTATAAACCCCTCTATTTCAGCCCTGCTCAGAACAGGCTGTTTCTGTGTCTGTACCTTTAAATGTAAATGAGCTGTGTCTGACCACGCCCCCTCTCTGGAAGGGCTTGGGTGTCTCGGGCTATCTCGCTCCATGCCCTATTTTTTACGGTGAGAAGGCAGACTCAGAGGGCAGAACAAACACCTAGCTGTGGGAGTGTCACCCACCTGTGGGAGGGGTTACTGCCCTTTGTGATGTCATGAAGGGAAAATCTCCAAACGGCCTGTTTGAGCACACATTTTCTGAAATGTGGAGCGGGCAAAAGACGGAGAGGATGGACTTTTCTCATCATTGGGGGGTTTGTAGACAGACTAGAGACACATATTAGAGTTAGAGAAACATGGTGAAGTGTGTTTTTGGGCAATATGTAACCTTTAAAGTGACTCAAACTCACTTTGAGGAAGATTTTCACTGACAAACTGCCCTTAAACATTGTGCATTGTCCTCACGTCTTATTTAGTAAATCTTTTCCTGGCTCTCTCCATTAAACTAGAACCTCTTTCTGTGCCTTGCCGTCTTACCATCAGTGTTTATGTCTTACCACATCCTGTTTGAACATCAAGAAGGTCAAATCATCAAAAAAAAGTTGTTCTATTGTTACTTCAAGTTGCTTCAATTACAAACATACTCACCTACCTAAAGCCTTTTTTAAAAATCACGTCATACTCTACATATGCGCTCAATACCTACAGTAGTATGTGTTCTTGTGTCTTGGCTAGTAGCACCATTTGAATAAAGATGAATGTTTTATTGATCATTGAGGAGAAAAGGAATTTCCCCTCTACTACAAATGATCTGAACGGAAACCCTGAGCAGACAGACATCTGTATATTGTATTTAATTCTGTTTTTCCTGTCATAAATGATGTCTGGATTTATTCATCTCGTGATCTTGGGTAAACAACGCTGGTTTTCCTGTAATGGTTCAAGTTCAGATCCCGAAAAAAAAACAACCAAAGTGTACTCATGATCACTCATGAAAACGGAGTCAAATCAAATGTTTTAATGCATGTCCTTTGATGGCGTCTGTCTAGTTATTTTTTGTCTCTCAAATTACAGATACATTAAAAAGATATCTGCATCAATGCAAAGAAGTTGTTTTGTCTTTGTACGTAAAGAAATACTTTAAACACCTCCATAATCTACAGACGCCCAATACAGACATGCATACATACATTTCATTTGACTCCATTTTCCTGTGACAGAGTTAATTTCAGCAGTTTTCTTGAGATCAGGACTTGTGGATCTCGTCATCTTGGGATAACATCGCTGGTTTTCCTGTGATTACGAGTTAATTTCTCAAGATCTCGACAAAAAACGGTTCAAGTTGAAATTTTTATCTTGGGAAAAACCGGTGTTAATATCCCGAGATGAATGAGTTGAAATCTGGAGAAAGTGTTCTCATGATCACTGGAAAACGGAGACAGATCAAATGTTTTAATGCACGTCCTTTGAGGGCTTCTGTACGTTATTTTTTGTCTTTAGAATTACAGATAATTAAAAAAGATATTGCAATAATGAAAAGAAGTTACTCTTTGTGTAAAATACCTATTTAATCTACGGAAGCCTGAAATGGACATGCTTCCATACATTCTGGTTACTCCATTTTCCCTTGAAAACAAGTGAGTTTGTTGTTTTCTTAATATTTGTCCCATTATCCCCAGATAGCAAAGCTTGTTTACCTTTGATAATGGGTTAATATCAGCTTTTTTCTCGTGATAACGGGATCATTTTCTGGCGATCTAGAAAGCAAAACAGTAGGCTGGTCACTGAGAGAGGTGACGACTACGACAGCAAAAATTATTTCCGCCTACTGATCGTGTCTTGTACTCACATCCTCCTCGCTCCGCGTCTGATCGGGAAATAAACAATCTCAAATATAAAACATGCAGTAAAAAGTAACGGAGCAGTGTCGGTCATACAGCGGCCATTGTCAACAGACTATTGTCATAGTGACAGGACGGACATGCAGCACTTTTCTTCTCAGCGCGCAAACGCGTCAAGCCAGCGCTTTTCTGCCCAGACAAAATGCTAGGTGGACACGGGGCCTTACTCAAATAATCTAAATCGACAACCCTACACTTTATATTCATGGTGAAGGTGTGTCAAAAGGAACAAATGAGAAGCTCTGAAGTTACTTAAAACATTAACGCTTTAATCTGAAGTCACGTCTGAATGACTTTAAGACAAATGTAGCTCTCTCTCTCTTTCCAGCTAATCCACAAACACAGAACATTTAACATCCAGACAACCAGTCACACAAATGCAACACAAAGCATTTGTCAAGTAAAAAGTTCAGGCCGAGTTTTACTACCACACTGTCACAAACATCATCAAGACTATGACGAATCCAGACCTGTACATTATTTCTGTAGCTAAGATTTTTGCACCTGTACATAAAACACATAAAAATCACTTTTTCCCTTTACATTTTTATCTTGGCACTTTATATTATATATGTGATATTAGCTTAAGAACCAGTGAACCCCCTCGCTGTTCTGTTAAAGTCTTTTGGTTCCTCTTCTTTGCCTTTCCGCCCAATCAAACCCATCTCAAAGACCGTTGAAATCTTCGTCACCGGCCTCGACGCCGCCTCTTTCAGCCTCTTGGCGTCAAACCTTGGACTAAAAAGCAGCACCGGCAGCCGGTGGGCAAACGTAGGTATCTCCTTCTGCTCGTCCATTTTCTCTTCCTGCTTCTCCTCCTCACTCTTGTTCAACTCAATCTGGTGCATGATGTTCTCTTTGGTGGAGAACATCTGGAAGAGGACAGCTTCCCACATCTTTGTTGCCTTGGGAGAGTCTTTGGCTTCATTCTCGTCCTGAGTGTCTGGCTTGTCAACAGGCTTCTCGACAGGCTTCTCGTCAATCTTCTTCCCCTCACTCTGGTCCTGCACTGACGCCTCCTTCTGGGAGCCGATCTCTGGAAATTTGGGCTCCTCCTGCTCCACCACCATGTGCTTTTTGAGCCTGGACCACCCGCTCAATTTAGATTTCACTCCTTTTGGCTTTTGAATGACCTTAAGAAGGGGCTCAGATGCTAGCAGGGGTTCCTCACCATCCCTTTTCTCAGGTGTGGATTTACCTACTGTTGCTGATTCTGCTTTCTTATCTTCTCCTTTGTCTTCACTACCATGCAGAGCAGGTGCTGCAGTACTCGGCTTTGAGACCTCTTCTTTGGCCTTGGTGACAGCTACAGGTTTTGCTGGCTCTTTTTTATCAGCTTTTGTCCCAGTTTCAGACTTCAGCTCGGAGCTCTGAGCTTTATCTTTGCCTAAAAGTTTTATTACTGCCTTCAGAGGATCCTGGTCTCCACCTTTAGCCGGAGGATGTTTGGCCTCAGGAGTTTTTGGCTGTGCTTTGGCGACTTCTTGAACCACTTTCTTTTTCTCAGGGGTTTTCACCTCCACTGTTGGTGGTTTGGCCTTTGGTGTTTCCTGAATCAACATTTTTTCATGTTTTGCTACAACCTGACTGGATACCATAATGGTATCTTGGGCTCCTGGGGAGTCAGATGCTTGGGAAACAATAATAACAGGGACTGAAGGGGTTACGGCAACCTTCTCTTCAACACTGGGTTTACCTATGACTTTCGAAACCTCAGCTGTAGATTGTGCATTCACAGGAACTTCTTGGCTTGGTGTTTTAGATCCCGCTGAGTCCTCTTGTGTTGCTCCAACCTCCTCTTCAGTTGACTTTGCAGAACTGGCAATACCAAATGCAGGAGTGAATGTTTTGATACCACCATAAGCAGCATATTCAGCCGGCGTCAATCCACGATAGGAGGACTTTGATTTCTGAGCCACTTGTGTTGGGGTTTTAGGTCTCTGGAAGGCTACAGGGGATGCCCCAGAAGGTGATGTCCCATATGTAGGTGTTTTTGGTCTCTTGTAGCCAGGAGATGTGGTCATGAGTCGGGACGCCTCGAATGTCGGAGTCTTAGGCCGCTGATAGCCGTAAGAAGTCGCTGCTGGTGTTGTCGGCTGAGGTGTAGGAGTTTGAGAGAGTCTTTGAGAGCCAGCTGGAGAGGATGGGATCTTTTCTCTTGTCAGATCTGTCTCTGATTTCGCCTTTGTTATGCTTTGTTGGACTGCTTTAGCTGCAGGTTTCATGTCTGAAAGAATGTGCCCATTTGGTAATGTTTCTGTAGGCTTTGGCTCAGAAGTCGTCACACTTAAGGAAGCAGAAGAAGTACTTGCAGCTAAAACCGTTTTGGGCGTTCTTGACCTCTCTGGCTCTACTGTGATTGGTGACACTGCGAACAAGAGAGGATTGGGTCTTGAGACTTCAAAGACAGGTGTTGCAGCCCGAGCGGTATGGTATGCCGGGGTTCTCGGTCGCCCTGCTGAAATTCTTGATGGGAACTCATAAGTTGGTGTTTTGACTCTGATTTCAGATGTCGGAGTTGCTCTCTTGATTTCAGCCGTGGGAGTGGCTCTTCTGTTTTCAGATGTTGGGGTAGCTCTTTTGATTTCAGATGTTGGAGTGGCTTGTTTTATTTCAGGTGTAGGTGTTTTTACTATATTCATCTCTGCTGTTGGTGTAGCACCTCTTCTAGTTTCAAAAGTTGTTGTTTTTATCTGCGGATCTGAGCCCGACAGAGATAGCTGGGTTGTCGGTGTTGAGCCTCTTTTGACTTCGGTTGCTTGTGTCAAGTCTTGCTTTGTTTCTGTTGCTGCTTTACTTTGAGGCACTATGCTCCCAATGTTGGTTAATCCAGCTGTGTCATACACCGGTGGGGTCCTGGATGTCTCATAGAAAGATGTGCTTGCCGTGTAGAGCCTAATTTGAGGGACATCAAACATCGGTTTTGGTGATCTCGATGGTTCTGTTGCTTTGAATGTTGGTCGTGGACTTTTGGATTTGAATGGGGTCAACACAGTCAGAGGTCGTTTCAAGGCTTGAGCCCCCATTGCTTGATAAGGAGTTGGACCAGGACTTATTGGTTTTGGCTGTGGGGTTCCTCCAGATGTAACAGGTTTAAGACCGGCATGAGTGTTGCCAAATGTGCCAAACGCTGGCTTTTTCACTTCAGCAGCTGGTACTTGAGGCTCTGGCACAGAAAAAGCTGGCAGAGCTATTTTGGGTACCGGTGGCCGGGCGACTGGCTCTGGAGTTGGTGAGACTCCTGAAACCTGGACTGATCCAGAATATGATGAAACAGTGGTGACATTTTGGGAATAGGAGTAAGATGGGATCGTCACAGTCTGAGGTGAGGACCTTGCTGTTCTACCATAAGCTGCACGCTGCGGATAAGGCGATGCAACATGTTGATACAGCGGCCTGACTGTAAACCGCGGAGGCTGCTGGACTGCGTAGAGGCTGAACGGGGCCTCTGGAGTCTTGGGCGGCGTGGAGTGGTCACTGTGCTCGAGGTCGGGACTGGCTTCGTTCACAGGGGAAAGGCTGGAGCGGAAAGGTGCGGCGGACTGCGCTGCCTGAGCAGAGGACTTTTTCTTGGCAGATCTCTTTAGGAGCTTCTGAAGCCGAATGTTGTCCTTCCCGGGCTTGGGCAGCAGGGGCGGGGGGTACTGCTGGGAAAACAGGCCCGGCTGGGTGACAGCACCATAAGCGAAAGCCATGAGTGCTTAAGCACCCTGTGGAGAGAGAAAAACACATATTGTCAACAAAGGAGAATTTGTAGTTTTTGGCAAAAATTATTGCCAAGCAGTCCATAAAAAATTTACTTAAGACAAACTTAGTAAATAGATAATAAGATGTTGATGTAACATGGTCACATTGTTGATGTTGATGTAACATTTTATTGTGCTGAGAGATTCTTTTCAATATTAATGGTAAATGTGTCTTTTCTTGATTCTGGGTCACATTAGATATTTCAGAAAATGGAGACCTAATATTCTTAAATGACTGGGAATCATAAGAGGTAACTTAACTAGTTGTGATTTTGACATGTTGGCAAACATAATGATAGTAATGTAGTCAAGACCACACTAACCGAGACCAAGACGTACCCAAGACCAGAGTGCTCAGAGACCAAGACATTTAGGGAACGAAACAGAGTCAAGACCAAGACCATGAATATCACAGAAGAATCATCATCTTGTGTGCAGGGGGGCGTGTCACTCACTTAGACCGTAACTGACATGGTGGTCTGCAGTACAGGGGCCCCGCAGGGTCCCCTTTTCTCTTCACCCTGTACACCTAGGACTTCTGTTACAACTCTAGGAGCTGCCACCTGCAGAAGTTCTCCGATGACACAGCCATCGTGTGGCTGTTTGTTCAACCATAATGTGTTAAAACTGGAACATTTCTGTGAATAAATGCATCCAACTCCATTGCAATTTAGACCACTTGCTGCATGTTTTAACATTTTCTTCTTTGTCTCTTTTGCAGATTCATACCATGGTGATTACTGAGGAGTCGTCGTCCTTACATTTAGCTTCCACCCCGATCCCAAACAAGCATCCACCGGCCATCACACAAGCAGCAAAATAGAGAACAAAGCAACAGCTCAAGCCCAAAAGGTTTACACATCAACTGTCCATATTTGTCCAATTTCCTCTTAAATTTTGTTTTGTGTATATATCTGACTGTGAGCTTTAATGTTCCTGTAATATTTTCCACTGCAGTTTGTAGATGAATCAATCCTTGTGTGTGTCAGGAAACATGCATGTATTTTATGTAGAAAAAGTTTGTATTTCTCAATCATTTTAGTAAACTCTTTGGCAAACAAACAGTCTGAACAATGAGAAATGAGGGGAGTAAACTTTGTCAACAAACTGTCCAAGTTTCAGCGTCACACAGATGATAATTATGAAAGTAAGAAAATAAAAACTGACAGAATCTCGGCTCAGCACACCTGGTGCAACCATTTACCCAAAGCTTAGTCATGCAGACACCTGATCTATACAATCAAACGTTATGTCCTCTGTTTGTTTTTGATGTACCCGAGTAGTGTCTTCAGCCGTGTCTCTGTACTACTGCACACCTTTGTCACCTTTATATCCTTCTACTGAGACTTCTTTGTGTTTTTAACCCTTTTTCTTAAATAAATTAAAAAGATTTTCTACTTTGGCAGTGCCGTCCATTTTATCTCCCTTTTTAAAGGAGCAATATGTAACTCTGATACCTAGTGTTTAAAATGGGTACTGCAGTCAAAATTCTAAACATTGCAACATAACACTAATATGTGTCTCCATCCGTCTACAAATCCCCCAATGATGAGAAATGTCCATCCTCATTTTGCCTTTTGCCTGCTCCACTTTTCAGAAAATGTGTGCTCAAACAGGCCGTTTGGAGATTTTCCCTTCATGACATCACAAAGGGCAATAACCCCTCCCCCAGGTGGGTGACACTCCCACAGCTAGGTGTTTGTCCTGACCTCTGAGTCTGCCTTCTCACCGTAAACAATATGACATCTAGCGAGAAAGCCCGAGACACCCAAGTCCTTCCAGAGAGGGGGCGTGGTCAGACACAGCTCATTTACATTTAAAGGTACAGACACAGAAACAGCCTGTTCTGAGCAGGGCTGAAATAGAGGGGTTTATAGGCATTATCAAATACAGGATCAGAGTGGATTTAGAACAAGAAACTTCACACACGTTTTGGGGAGCTCTGAGACATATTTAAACTGGTTGAAGAGGAGGAGAATATTTCACCTTTAAGAGGTTTTTAATTTCCCTAAACTCCAGATACAGATGTCTTAATGATGGTATCATAACGTATGTGTTGGTGTTATTTAAAAAAGTCAAAGATAAATCCTGCAAGCTGGAAAAAAACAAACATGAGAATGGAGCCGGCCTCTTCCTGGATGATGTTACCGCCTCACAGCTGAGCCTCAGACTAATTTTAGCGAGGAAGATCGGCCAATCACCTTCCTCCTTTTTTTAAGACTCCCAGCTCTTTACAGGCTGCATCACTTTCCTGAACACAATAAATCAGAGTGCTGTGATGCAGCATCTGCAACTTCATCTGCCTAATGGGGGCCTCAGAGACAAACATGTAACAGGGGAACAGTTGAAGGACAAATGTATCAAACCTGAAGTTAAATATCAGCAACAGTTTGAAGTCACTCACTGACTGCAGTTATGTTTTAATGCAGGCAGCTTTTCATGTCTTAAATGTTACTCTAGTCAGCAGTCACGACATTAAGCTAAATGATGTTTGGACTGTTTATTTTTGTAACTGGAGCAGCAACACTGAAGTGAGAGTAGAGCTAGGATGAAGATACATGTCCAAAATGAATGCATTTATTTAAAAGATTGAATCTCTTTTCAGGTCGTTCAAAGGAGTCTTTGAGGTTGCAAACCTAAGTTAGGAGTAGCTGAGCCAAAAAAAATAGTCAAAGATGATGGCGGCTCCAGACAGAAAGGTTTAAATCAGCATAATTAATTAATACCGTGATACATTTAATCCACATTTACCTTTTTTTATTGTAACATTTATCCTCAGTGTGTTAATGCAAGGAGGGACAACCTTCAACTGAGAGTAGCTCATCCTCTGGGGAGCCTGACAATTGAATCTTAAAGATTTCAATTTTTACATTAACATTTTGTCTGTACGTCCTAAAACAAACAGCTGATGATAGTTTTTGAGGATAGGAGGGTGTATCAATCACAACATTTGGGGTTTATACTCTGGGAACCATGAATACCTAAGCAAAAGTAAGAAAAGTGTAGATACAAATATCTTGATTTTGATGTCACTTACAGGTGAATGGTGAAGGCGGAGCTTAAAGGAAAGGTAAAACTCTGCAATAGTCCTACATACCATCAAATATTTAATGAAAGATTTAGTAGTTTAAAGTTAAGCTAAAAAAGTGTTTCTAAAGTCAAACTGGTTCATCTTCTGGAGAGCTGAATATGATTACAGAACATTTCAAGACACACTAAATGTTGTTTTTTAACGTTTCTTCTGCCGATTAAGAGTTAGTGCTGATAACGGCGTTCAACGGTGAAACATAAAAAGGGTTCATCCTCTGGGAACCTTGAATACTACAGCAAACTATGTGAAAAACTAGCACGAGCAGTAAGGTTTGCTGAATTTTGATTTAGAGATTTTGTGCATTAAAGGTAAAGGTGATGGCGATAAAACGAAAGGTCGACATCAGGATATTCAGAAATATCGTGACAACTGTAATTTAAAGTTTGGCAAGAATTTAGGCCTTTCATAAGCAAACTGTGTTTTAGGTCACTTTTTTTTCTTTCAATCAATATATTAATTGAGTTTTATATTTATCTTATTAACAAAACAACAAGAAATAAATGTGTGCCACTTTTAGTAAAAACTCCTTCCATGGTGAAGATTTTCAAAAACTCAGTTTAAGGTGTTTTTGTGTAGACGGGGAGTTTTATTCTCGTGCTGCACGCCGTGCGCCGGGATGACAGAGCCATTGCGAGAACATTTTAGCACATCAAGGACGTCATTTTTTGACTTGGCATGCTCAAAATATCCGTAACTGTGCATTTTGATCTTTTTGAGATCTGAGCATGTTTGGACGGGATCATTTTTTTAAACTGAGGAGGAATCCCACTGTTTACAAAAAATACCTGCCTACATGTGGATGAGGCTTGAGACAAACTAAAAACGGGTTTTGCAGAGGTTCCTTCAAGTGGTCTACTCTCTGCGGAGCTGAGCATGCTAGGCCATAGAACATTTCAAGGCACATTATGATGAAAATGTCCCCAATTTATTAACACCCAAATAAAATCCATGAACATTTGGGTGGTGTTTAGGGAGACATGTAACTGCACCAAAGGATTCACAAATATCTCTTTACAGCCTCAACTCCCAGGAGGACTCTGATGAACGCGTCGGTCTCATTTGTTAATAAAGTTGCTCTTCATACTACACGTGTTGCTGGAGCTTTTGGTCCTCTTCTAAGCCTTTCAGTTGTGCCAGAGGATTTTCTAGCTGCTTCTTCAGCCTCAGCTCCTAACCACTTTAGATCTGACCTCACGAGTAAGAGCTCATATTTAATCTAATACAATCAGGAATATTAAAATCTGTGAAACCAAAAACCAGAAAAACTCCTCTGCACTGCGAGGTGACGGTTTACATGCTGAGCTTTATTCTGCAGATTTTGTCGCGTCAGGATCCTCTCGCGTCTCTTCCCACATAAACACACGCATATAGCCGAGTATAAATATCCGCCAAATGGTGAAAGTGAATGCAGAGCATCCGACCCCATGACATCACAGGATAGAACCTCAGGAATACACTGTCACTTAGAACATCCAATCACAGGCCAGAACAAGAATTCAACATAGAAGGATCGTTTAATAGAGAACGCCTCAATGTTACTCTTGTGTTTGACATAAGTTATGTTTGGCCTGTTTTCAGCACTTGGTGCACATTACAAATTGTATGAACCTGTTTGGATTTATTCTCCTGGTACCTCACTTTATCAACCACTTACTTTGTTTTATAACGCCAAATCATAACAAGCGTTATCTCAGGGGGTGCCGGTGACGTAATGGTGAGTGTGCGCACCCCATGTACGGAGGCTTCAGCGGGCAGCCCGGGTTCAAATCCACCCTGTGGCTCATTTGCTGCTCTCTCTCTCCTCTTCCACTCTATCAACTGCCCTGTCTCTAAAATAAAGGCATAAAGAGCCCCAAAATAATCTTGGCATCAGTGACCAGGTTCCTTTAACAGGCAGACACCTCGAGCAGAACATGACCCACCAACATTTTTTTCATTTTTTAAACATAATATTTTTGGAGACATTTGGTGGAAATGTAATGAAGCACTAAAATAAGTTTTTTTAATTTTAAGAATATAGCTGCACAAGCTTCATTTAACAAAAATAACTCATGACAAGAGCCAGATATGTTCATGATGAGACTGTCCAAAGGGTTTTGGTTTGCTGGCATCATGCAGTCTGCACAAAAACAAATGTTTAATATCCTCAGTTTACTATGTGTGTCACCTCAGTGAAATGTAGGCCAGAGCTGGTTGTCTTTAAAGGCCCCCCCCCCTGTCGCCCCCTCCTTCCCTGAACCTGCTGCCTGCCTGACACTCGAGAGCCCACTCCTCCTTTTAAGGCTCTGGTAGGCTCGGTATTTGGAGCACCTTCAGGATGCAAGTTCAAAAGAGGAAAGGGTAATAATAGCCGCGTAATAAAAAACCAAGTTGGTCCACAATAGCCCCCTCAAGTAAATGAATCCAGCCCAAAAAAGTCATTTACCACCGGTGAAGTTATGAGGATTCAAACATAGAAAACAGAGACTTTGAGATGGAAAAAAGTTGGAACGTACCAGGTAAAAACTTGTTGCTGGTGTTCAGAGTGCTCCAGGCAGGGTCCCCTTTAAAGAACAGGAAAGAACATTGATGTCAAATGTGGAAAATAACTTTATTCCTCTTAAGAGAACACACAAGGAAGATTAAAACACAAAGCTTGAATGTGGTCACCGGTCAGTCATGCCTCATTGCAGCACAAGACAGATAAGTGACCCTGCAGGTGGAGTGTGCGTTTGAGCCGCAGGGAGTCAAAACAGCTTGCGGCTAACACTTAGCTCAGCCTGCTGGTGCTTTAATGTTGCACTGAGGACGAGAAGAAGACACCCTCAGCTCTCCAAACATGTCGGATCGCTGGCTGCCGAGGAGGGGGGATCCAGCTGCCTCCCTCACACGTCTAGCAGCTTCCCCGTGCCCTATCTGGAGAATAAAAGGTGTAATTATGGGGTGTTTACCTGTGCGACTGCTGCTTGGGGGGCGGCCGGCCGGCTGCTGCCTGCTTGTCCCAGCCCGGAGTGTCAGAGCGGCAGGTTCATGTTGAGCCCAACTCGACCCCCCTTCCTACAAATGGAAGCAACAGACGCCATGGCAGTCCAAAAATAAATGCTGAGCCCTGTGAGCTGCTCAGAGTGACAGCAGAGCAAGGCGGGTCGCAGCGCCGCACAGAGAGGCCACCGGACCTTAGGTTTCACCACCAAAGGGCTCTAAAAGTGGGCTCCGAGGGCCACCCAGGGGTCCCTTAAGGATGTGTCAGGGATCACAGGAAGGGGTCTCCATCACAGGGATTCATTTGAACTCTGTAGAAATAGTCCTAATTCAAGTGTTCTAGACCGGTCAAAGTAGATGACTGTCCACCTAAAGTCAGGTTCTGTTTAAGGTTTCTGCTTTCCCAAAAAAGTTGATCCTTGCCTCCAGCTCCCATTTTTTGCTCAGGGATCAATAGTTGTCTCTTTGTAACTTAAGTTTAATGAGATACTCTAGAAAAAATGGACTTAACCCGACATGAATGGTCTTCCTGCATGCCAAAAAAACACATTATTCAGGTGTCTCTCTGTCATGACTGTCTACAATGAGTGAGAAGCTCGAGTCCCGCTGGCTCTGTTGTTGTCAGAGTCGTGTTTACATGGACGGGACGGCCGGCTCCTCCCCTTTTGTATAAAAGTTGTTTTAGTCAAGAACTAGAGAGAAGAAGAACATACTCACTGATTATTTGGATGTCATGTAAGTGTAATATAGATCAGGGGTGGGCAACTGGGGGCCCGGGGGCCACAAGCGGCCCCCATCAACCCTCAATGTGGCCCTCAGGTCAATTTTTACACAGCAATTAATTGAAAACATGAAATAAACATGACAAAATCTGCCATGAAATCATGAAAACCATAAATATGTCCATAAAAATATTTGATCACTGGTATATGTTGAGTTAAATTTAAGACATAATTGACTATAATCGTTTTTGCATCCTACGATTTGGCCCTTGCTGTGACCGAAGTTGCCCATCCCTGCTTTGGATCTAACTAAAGAGCGCTAACATTAGCATGCTTACACAACAATGCAGGACACAGGTGACTGCAGCTTGAGAAAAGGACAATTATGTCTGCCACTTGCTCTTAATGGTGCTTCATTATAGTGGCAAGTGGAGGGGGGTTCGAGGTGTGTCTCTGGAGTAGAGTGGAGGCTTCAGTATGGAGGAGGTGTGGCCAAACAGCAGTTTGTTTTGATTTAGTGCTGGTGCTCAAGGGCGACCTCTACTGGATCAAAAAGTCAAAGATCTCTTCCAGCGACAAGTGAATTAAGACAATTATTTATTACAATGAATAACATGGAAATGTGAGTTGACTTTGGTGCTTGGACTCTATGGGCGGGGTGATATGTTTGGAGAAAGTCCATTCTGAGCGTCCACAGAAAAAACAAACAAAAAAAACCCAACAGTTTTTGTAGTTTGTTAAAAATGTCCGCTCAACATCTCCTCTGTGGGGATGATCAGGTCAGCTTTGAACAGGTTCAATCAAACAGGAGGTCTTAATTCATCTCTCCCTCATGAAGGCCTCTGCTCTCTATTCTGTTACTGCAGCGCCCCCTGGGGGACACCAGAACACAATTCAGGACCCCTGAGAGACGCTCAAGCTGCAGGAGAATTTCAGTTTCAGTTTCATGATTTAAGTTTGTTTAGGCTTAAATCTGAACTGAAGACATGAAACAGATTCTGCAGAAGCTCTTAAAATAACTAAAAGGGAGGTTGTTATAGTACAGGGGTTCTCAATTTTTTTTGCTTTGTGTACCCCCTTTCTCAATGTTTTTCAGCAAAGTACCCCGTTGTCCGGCTACGTAAAAGGATTAGGGCCACTGAAAAAAAAACTGTTTGGTTCTGACTTTTTTTTTTAAGAACTCTGAATCCTAAAAAAAATAGGTCAGAACCCCAACATGTTTTTCAGTGGGCTGGGTGTAGACAGAGCACTGAGGGAATGCTACTTTCAAAATCATGCTAGTTTTTGAAAATTACCAACCCTGGTTTTAAGAAAATATATTTTATCACTGTAGCGCATTAGTCTTTTTTTAATTGTTTTTCAGTCGCTCTAAATAACTTTGAATTGAATCAGATTTGTGTAAAAGGTGCTTTATGAATAAAGCTTGATTGATCGATTTATCTTCAGTTATTTTTTTGGGGCCTTTTTGCCTTTATCGGATCGGACAGCTGAAAATAGACAGGAAGTGTTGGTAGGAGAGAGAGTGGAGGATGACATGCAGCAAAGAGTCAGGTTTGGATTTGAACCCACATCCGCTGCTATGAGGACTACAGCCTCCATACATGGGGCGCACGACACAACCACTAGACCATTGATCCATTTAAAGAGGACATATTATCCCCCTTCTCCACCTTTTCAAACAGTCCCCTGTGGTCTAAATGAAACATCTGTGCTGTGCTTTGGTCAAAATATAACATGAATCAAGCACCAGAGGAGGTTTGTGAGCCTGTATAAACCAGCTCTCTCAGAACGCTCCGTTTTAGTATGTGTGTCTCTTTAAATGCAATGACCCCCCCCCCCCCCCCCCCCGCGTTTTCCCAGTAGACATCACTTCTCTGTAGTGAGAATAAAAATGGTGGACCTGCGTTAAAGTTTTGTTCTAGGCTGGGGGTGGAGTCCATGGGTGGAGATACCAGGGGAGGGGAGGGGATTTTTTTTTACCAGAATCCCACTGTGACATCACAAGAAGAGCAAATTTGAAACAGAGCATTTTTCTCTGTGTTGTAAGACTTATGCAGACCACAAAAAAAGGACTGGATGGGTTTATTTCACATTTTGTGGGTCAGTAGACACTAAGGTACCCAAGTTTATGTTCAGAAACACTGTAGAAGTGGACAAAGAAACAAACATATTCAAACATCCCTTCCTCTCTCGAATAATGTCTTGTGCATTTTAAAGTCTGTAAAAGCGTATCACTATATCCAAAATAAAGGTACCTCTCATAACTATGAAAATGAAAATGAAAATGAAAATGAAAATGAAAATGAAAATGAAAATGAAAAATATATTTTGCTACGTTCCCCTGAGATGACTAGGGGATGAGGTGAGTAACAATAAAATAAAACCCCGGGAAAACAAGGAGGAGCTAAGTATAAGCAAATTAAAAAAAGTAATTTATTTACAAAATCACAAAAACAAAACAAACAAGAACAAGGTTCTTCAAAACACAACGAAAGAGAAGCCAAATCATCTTCAACAGTTAGCATGAAAACCAACGTCCTTTCACAGAAGGAGTACGGCCTCTACAGGGGAGCAGAGTTAGCACACAGCTGAATGGTCCACTGACCCCGACTGCCTGGTGTGCCCGACCAGTGGCTGCAGTGAGGCAACACCTGGAGGGAGCACAAGAGAAAGAAGAAAACAAAAAGCACACACACAAAACTACAGCATGTAACACATATCTACACTCACACATACACATATGTATATAAACCAAAAGTTATATATTTCCATACCCTGCCTTCATCCATTTCTGGACTTTAACACAATTGTTATTCTGTAAACATCTTAACCTGAGTCTTCCTCCTGTAGAAGCACTGCAACATCTCTACATTTCATGAATACTTTAAATGGTCTCCATATTCCCTCGCAGACATCCAACTGATTTTTCAGGGTGTATGTTTGTAATTTCTTGCTTTATTTAATTAATTAACTTTTTACTATTTTTATTTTTAATAATTATACTGCTGTTTTTGAGCTGTTCTAACAAAGAAATTTCCTCCAATGGGAGCTCAATAAAGTTTATCTTTATCTTTCCTCTCCATCGACACACAAAGTGCCACATTTGATTGATTTACAAAAGAACCATTTATGTTGAATATAAGACTCAGGAAAAGGTTACAAATGTTTACTTAAATATCCCCCAAAAATATATACATCCTGTTCAAAATGATGACTTTTACGCAAACATTTCTAACTCAATGGTTTGTTTTTTCGGTCCTTCTTTGTTTACTTCTAAACCTTAGCGGTAGAGATTTGTAGTTCAAACTGTAAGTGTAGTTTTCTGCATGTTTTTAGAGCCTGCACAGAGTGAAATGTTTGACTTCTGTTTCTTACAAACTTCCCTCCCCTTCTGTTTTGATTCCCGCAAAACTGGAGCGTCAAAGAAAACATGAAACCTGAGCAGAAATCTGGATCAACATTTCGGCTTTACAGCTTGCACAGACACATTAAAAGGCGTTCTTGTCCTCCTGTGACCACGCTGAAGTGTACATTTGTGTGTTTTTCTGTGAGAGCTTCAGGGATCACCACCTGCCTCCGGGCCCTGACGTCCAGCTCTCTTCTCACCCTCCACCCATGAAATTTGCTTGCCTAATGCAGCCGCCCCAGAATAGCATCTTGGGGGCGTCTTGGCTGCCCCCCTTCTCCAAACTTGAGCCTCCCACCTTAGCCCTCGACCCTTCCATCTCCTTATTGAGTGCCAGCGATGGGAGGGTGAGAGGGTGGGGTGGTGAACCCTGCCCCGCCGCGGGTCCAGGCCTCGCCTCCAAGCCGGGCTCCTCGTCCAATGGGGAGGCCGAGGAGATCATGTGTCACTATAACAGAAGGACATAATCAGCGCGGTAAGTTTGCAGAACCTTACAGCCTGTCTTGGCCAGCAGGGAGCTCGCTTCTGTCAACGTTTCTGAGGTAAGAATGAGAATGAGAATGAGAGAGTGTATGTGAGAGAGAGGAAGATCAAGTGCAATGTTCACAAACATCACACAAGCTCCACATGTGTTTAAATCACTGACATCACTGGAAGACGCTGGTAGAGGTCAGGGGTGAGAGGGGAGATGTTGACCTCAGGAAGTCTGAGGCTTCTTGAATTTACTTTTTCCAGTTTGTGTTTGATTGAAAGCTGTGTGCCTGAAAAGCCGTGTTTGAACGTCTTCTTTATCTCCAAAACTGAGACAAGTATGTGATTCCTCTTTGGAGCTTGTCGCCATGTTTAAACTTCATCTGAGGCTCAAACACAAAGCCGTCAGAGGTGTTATAATTCTTGGGTTTTAAGTGTAATCAGCTGCTCTTGTTGTTGTTGTCCTGTGCCTGGATTGGTGCGAGTCCAGGCTCTAAGCGGAGTTTCATACCTGAAGGATTTACAGATGGCTTAAAGCCTTTGAGGCAGCTTTCCGCTTCGGGAGACAGAAGATGACACTAATGAGTTATGCAACATGTC